TATTATTATTAGTAGTAGTAGTAGTAGTAATAGTATTACTACATTTTACCTCCTCCTTTCCTTCCTTCCTTTTAATAATTTACCGGACTTTAACCAAAAACTCGTGTATGGCGTGATTGTAAATCTATGCTTTTTATATGCCCAGATTTTGTTGTTAAACTATACTTAACATATACGCTATTATTATTATTATCATCATCATCATTATTATTATCATTATTATTATTATTATTATTATTAAAAAGGATGGAATTGAAATAGTACAATTAAATCTGTTATCTCTGAATATTCTCAATCGGAAATTATCTAAAACTAGGAAATTCAAATAAATTTTACTTTTTTATTGCATTTTTCTTTTATTTCTAACTCATATTCGCTTCCTCGCACAAACCAAAACCAGAATTAATTCATTTTTGACGCCATCAAAATCAGCGGGCACGAGGCTTCAAATACATTTTGATTGAATTTCAAGAACGCTTGGCATTGACCAGATGGCCGACGTTATGACCGAAGGAGATATGAAAACATACACTTGTCGTCTGCATCTTATCCATTATGGAGCGTAATAGGAGAAGTAATGTGGTCATATACCTAAAAAAATATTATCGTTATAATGGCTAGTGTCCTTGCAATTTGCTGCTCTCTCATTTAGAAATTTGAAAGGATACAGGCCATATAATTTGGCCTTTTAAAAGGTCAGATTTTCGATATAATTTAGCAAGACCAACACTAAATTGAACGAACTAGATAGAAACATGTATAAATTTTTTTCTGAAATTCATTTTTCAAAATGTCTGCCTAATTCGTAGCTTGTCTTTTTTGTAGTTTATTGTTAGATAGGCGTCACAAATCAGAGAAAAAAATATATATCAAATGTCTAAAAGTTCGTCAATAAATAAAACCTAGCATTAAACCAAGTTACATTGTAAAATTAATCAAAAGCCATTGTCACGCCAAAAAGAAAAAAAAAAAAGAATTCGAATATATAGATGTTATCTAATCTGCTTGTCTGCCTGTTTCTTAATATCTCGTGTTTCAAGTCGTGTATGAAATAATGTGTTTAATCCTGGAGGTTTATTTCATTTACTTAATGAAGATGAATTCGGAACTCCTGAGGAAACTAGGTCCTGTTGTAAATAATGCATGTAGTGAATTTCTCAGCGTTACTTTCCGATTTGAATGAGATCTTGTGGCATATGCGAAATGGCATTGCCCATAATGACGCCTCCAATAACAAACTTAGATGATATGCATGTGAAATTTGTTTTTACCGAATATTAAAAGGATTAAATTATATATAATTAATTAATTTTATTTTTATCAAAAAATTGCTCGTTTCATATATTTTATTAAACTAAACACACACACACACACACACACACACACACACACACACATACATACATATATATGTGGGGGAGGGAGTTCATTGGAATTAAAGATAGACAAATATTGATTGTAATTTAACAGAATGATAAGATAAGGAAAATTCGTATATTTTACTTGCAGTAACACACACACACACACATATATATATATATATATATATATATATATATATATATATATATATATTTATATTGAAAATAAAAAAAATATTAAAAAATTAAAATCTTCAGACACATTGGGTTGTATAATAATATTCTTTCGTTTTTATTATCATTTCATTAAAATTCCTCGACAAGTTTCGGCCAACATGGCTATCATCAGGAGAAAATATATTTCTGCTTGCTGGTAGCAGTGAACTACAGAAATGAATATTTTGTTGGAGAAAATGAACTTTTGCTTGTAGTTTTCCTTTGTTTTTTTTTTTGTTTTTTTTTTTAACATGAATTTTGGTCAGCCTTTGTGTTTGTCAAACAATCTCTTAAGTTTTTAAGATCTGGATGGATTCATGCTGCTCTAAATTCCCTTTATTGGTTCCTGAAAAAGGATGTGTCTTCGTGAACTGTGTGTGTGTATTATATATATATATATATATATATATATATATATATATATATATATATACATATGCATGTAAAAGTAAAAGTTAAAATAATCATTGATCATGGCTGAAAGTTTAGCCGAAACCGTTCAGACATAAAATACACTCAGACAAGTTCTACATAATTTACGTCCAGAAAACAGGAAAATTATGATAACACAAGAAAAATTAAAGAAGCTTGAATTACTGCTTTTAATTATTCACCGTTAAAAGGAAAATCTAATTAATACTGTTTAATTAAAACAGAGCATTTACTCAAATAAGTTTATCCATAAAAACGTATAAACATAAAATATATTAAAATATTTGACGGATGTAGGCCACTCTAGAACATGTTTGACACACACAGTCACTCTACACCTTTCTGACAATAGATCAATTAGATCTCATTTAAATATTCATGGAGATCTACTGGACACTATTCGTAACATGCTTGTTGACAACACTACTATAATGGCATCATCTACATGCAAAAAAAGTCTAAAAATAATGGAAGCCTTATTAATAAAAACCAAAAAACAACACTTAATAATATTAACTTTGATACAAAATCTTGACCGTGTTTTGAAAAATGAAAACATTTTATAAAACATACATACAACAAACTATTTCTCATTTAAGAGTTAAAATATTTAATCCTTCAAAATGGTTAAATGTATAGCCGAAAGCGCTCGGATAAAAAGAACAATCGGGCAGTTTTTATATAATTTATTATCCGAAAAAAAATTATTAGATCGTTTGAGAAATTGTATAAAAAACTAAATAAAAGCACCTTTTCTGTCGTATTCAATGAAATGTGCATTAAAGAAGGTTTTCTGCCTAAATACACACACACACATAATATATATATATATATATATATATATATATATATATATATATATATATATATATATATATATATATATATATATATATAAATATATATATATATATATATATATATTTATATATATATTTATATATAATATATATATAAGAGAAGTTTTATATAGAGAAGAATATCAAAAAAGCTGGAAAAAAAAAAAAAAAAATTCATGTTTTATGTTTTTCGCCTTTAGATGTTGATGGTTCAAAAGTGATGTTTACGTTCAGACAACTACACACCCGAACAAACGAGTGGGGGAATTGAGAATCTTAAAATGAAATTTAATTATTTAATTATTTCATTTTAAAGTATATATTTTGGGTCTATCTGTTTTCATTTATTTTTTGTTATTCTTTTTGTTTCAGTCAGTTTTGCTATGTAATATTCCACATTTTGATAATAGAAGACCTGATAAAAATTAAATGTTGTAGAAAACTGGACGTATCTGTCTATATTTCTGAGATGAGGTATTATGTACATTATTTACATTATTCGGACTATTGTCCTCATCTTTGTCGCCATATTTATTACAACGTTTCGGCCGTTCAGTACTGCTATTTCGAGATGAGGTCTTCAGGTGGTTGGAATTTGGAACTGAACCCTTTCTTTCGCTCACTTTAGTAGACTGTTCTAGTCCTATGTTTCCATGTTTAATAGATGTCAGACTATCAGTTATCTCCCATTAATTTCCCTCTGAAAGTTCTCCCACTGCCTTAACCGGGTATTGAACTCACACACTTTGGATCCTGTCACTGGATCTAACCAACGCTTAACTTTCGCCCAATGATACCAAAAAGAATGAAATGTAGTCAACAGAAATATTTACACTCACAGACAAACACACTTCACACACACAACTTTTGCACACACACACACACATATATAATATATATATATATATATATATATATATATATATATATATATATATATATATATTGAAAAGTAAACATGAGAAATTGGAAAATTATATTTTCTGACGCTTATCATCCATTAGATTTTCATCGGGCTTAGCTTTGTTGATATTGTCATGCACATGCGCACGAAACGAGAGACGCTGGTAGTTTAAAAAATTTTGAAAGAATATTTTTGAAAGATTTTTTTTTAGTTCAATCTAGCCAAATCGATCTGTATTTTTAATTTTTCATTTTCTCTCCATCATCTTTGTCCCTGAATATTCCACATTGTGACAACAGAAAATCTACCAAGAATGGTGAAATATTGTAAGAACCTGGGCGCAATTTTATTGTGACTGAACTAGCGATAAAGAGCCTTTCCAGGCATTGTCGTCTTAGTTGAACATTTTCTCTTTTAATCAAATTATCATTCCCTATGTCAAAACTGTTGTCCGTTTTGTTATGAATATATGTTTTCCGCCAGGTGTATAAACAGCGACGTCAGTCTACTGACTGAAGTGATTATTGAGTGACTTCTTGAGTGGAACTATCCAGTCGAATGAGTGTGAATTCGAAACACGATAACTAGAAAATATTTCGTTTTTCTTTTTTTCTATTTTTTATTTTAATTATAAGAATATTTTCGAGAATATATTATAAATATTGCGATATATTCTTTTCATATAGAAGAAAATGAGTAATTGCCGGAACCGAGGTTCGAACGTGACACTCTGTACTAATGAATATATATTTTCCGCCAGGTGTATAAATAACGGAGTCAGGTTACTGACTTCAGTGATTATTGAGTGATTATTGAGTGGAACTATCCAGTCGAATTAGTGTGAATTATTGTGCGTCGATGATTTTGATTTTGATTTAGGATTTACCGGGAGTTAAGTTAAGCTGTGCTACTAACAAGGTATTCATTGAAATGGTTAATTAACTTTGGTTGACTTTTTTTTCTTTATTATTTTTAAGTATTTATTTGCGGTTATAATAAAATACTGTTTTATCATAACATTGAAGTATTGAGTTAACAGACAATGTACACAAATCATAATTACGATGCCACCGAACATTAATCTCCTGGGACGATGGCCTACTATGAAAATATTCTCTTTTTTAGTGAGCAGTCTAAAGGACTGTCTTGATCTAGACACATCCAATTATAGAAATACAAACGTAAATATAATCGTATTGCCTTCCAGGAGAAATCCAGAAATGGCAAACTAACGCTTAATCCAATAGGTTAGAAAGAAAGAAAGAAAGTAGAAAATAAAAAGAAAGACAAATAGAAAGTTTGGTATAAGTAAGGTAAGAAGAAAGAAAGAAAAATTAATGAATGAAAAAGTAAAATTTTAAAACGAACACGCGAAGAAGAAAGAAAGAGACAAAGAAAAAAAGAAAGAAAGAAAAAAATTCGAAACGATATGCTACAGAGAAAAAAGAAAAATAACAGAACGAAACAAAGAAAGAACGAACAAGCTAAAAAGAAAGATATACGAAATGAATGAAACAATGAAAGTATTCAAACGAAGAAGCTATGAAGAAAGAAAGAAAGACAAATAAATAAAGACAGAAGAAAGAAGAGAAGGAATAAAATTCGATACGAAAAAGCGAGAAAAAAAAGACATGGATGCGCTGAAAAATGAATAAAAAAGTGAATAAATGAAGAAAGAAAAACGAAAACAATAAAGAAAGCAAGAAAGAAGGAAAGAAAGGAAGACCGAAAGATTTAAGGAAAATAGCAGAAAGAAATGTTGATATAATGTTATTAAGAAAGAAAGAAAGAAAGAAAGAAAGAGAGAAAGAAAGAAAGAAAGAACAATACAAAGAATGACAGAAAATTAGAGGAAGAAAGAAAGGTTGAATGAAAAGTAGACAATTAGGAAAAAAGGAAAGGTCGATTGAACTGTACTCAGCAAGAGGAGAAAAAAGAAAGAAAGAAAATTAAAGAAGAAAATTCGATATATTGTGACCAAGAAAGAAAAAAAAACGAATGAAATTCAGTGAAGACAAGTAAAAATAAATAAGCATTAAAAACATGGAGCAAAAAAAAAGGAAAAAGGTTGTACAAGCAAAACAAAATGGAGAACGTAAAATAAAAGCACAAGAAAATGAGGTGAAGGAAGCGAAAGCGACGGAGACAAGGAAAGAGAAAAAAAAAACTATAAGAAAGGCAAAAAATGGATCATGGACAGAATTAATAAGGCGAGTAAAAATAGCAAATAAGAAGTTTAAAACACAGAATATTACCAAAATGAAACTAAATGAAAAAGAGTGAAAATAAATAAGTTTATTTTGAAGAATAAAATAACACGGCACCATTGAAGTGTAAGAATAAACATTTTTAAGGGGAGATATATCTAGAAGAACAGGAATTGTAATGATAATCGAACTCAATAAGGAATAGTATTCAGCTGCATGATTGGCAAATATGTTTGTTCATGTGTAGGTCGTGTATCGAGTGTGGAGGACGGAAAAGGAAAAGGTAAAAGGAAGTTTAAAAATGCGATAAACTTAAGAAGAAATAGAGATAAAATGTTCGAGAAAAAATTAAATGTAAAAACATGTCTAAAATGTGGCGTTAAAAGTGAAAAGGAAAGAAAGAGAAACAAATGAGAAAGCAAGCGTAAAATATATTTAAAAAAAATAAAAGTTTGAGAAAATTAAAAGTTTAGAAAATAAAGAAAAGAAGCGGAAAAGAAATTTGTAAAACGTAGAAAAGAGAGAAAAATGTGCGAAAAATAGAAAAATAAGGGGAAAAAAAAGAAAAGAAAATGCTCCAAAAATGGAAAAATAAAGGAACAAAATAGAAGAAAAGGCGGGAAAATGAAAAAAGAAAAGAGAGAATAAATGCGAGGAAAATGGAAAAATGAAGAGAAAATAAAAAAAAAAAAATCGGAAAAATGAAATCTGTAAAGAAAAAAAAAAGAATAAAATGGCAAAAAATAAAAGAAAAAAATAGAAAAAAAAAGGCGGGAAAGAAAATGAAATCTGGAAAGAAAAAAAAACGAAAATCAAAGTAACGAAAAATTAAAGAGAAGAAATAAAATAAAAAGCGGGAAAATTAAATCTGTAGAGAATAGAAAAGAGGGAATAAAAAGCACGGAAAATTTGAAAGTAATGAGGAAAAAAGATAAAAGGGAAGGCGGGAAAATAAAATTAGTAGAGAAGAGAAAACGAAAGTAAAAGGCGGGAAAAATAGAATAATAAACAAAGGACCGGTAAATGATATTTGTCTTAAATAAAAAAGAGATAGGCGCAAAAAATAAAAAAAGACAAAAAAAAAAAAAAAAAAATCAAAGAAAGAGCGTGAACATAAAATTTGTAGAAAAAAGAAAAAAGTAAATAAAAACGCGGCAAATGGAAAAATAAAGAAAATAAATAAAAAGGCGGAAAAATGACAGTAGAGAACTGAAAATGAGAATAAAAGACACAGAGAATAGACACGTAAAGAAAAATATAAGAAAAAGGAGAGAAAAAATTAAATTAGTTGCGAGTAGAAAAGAAAGAATAAAAGGCGCGAAAATGGAAAGATAAAAATATAAGTGAAACGGCAGAAAAATGAAATTTCTAGAGAATAGAAATGTATAGAATAAGACGCGTAAGAAATAAATTTTAGAGGAATGAATATTAAGAAAAGATGTGAAATTAAATTTGTAGTAAATAAGAAAGAGAGAGGTAGCGAAAAATTAAATAGAAAGGTTAAAATAAAAAAGAGAAATAGAAAAAGTAAAAAACAAATGGAAAAAATAAAGAGATAAAAGAAATGTATAAAAGGCGTGAAAATGAAATTTGTACGGAAAAAAGAGAACAAAAGGAATGTTAGGTGAACAAGAAAGTATAAAAGGCGTGAAAATGAAATTTGTACGGAAAAAAGAGAACAAAATGTATGTTAGGGGAACAAGAAAGTATAAAAGGCGTGAAAATGAAATTTGTACGGAAAAAAGAGAACAAAATGTATGTTAGGGGAACAAGAAAGTATAAAAGGCGTGAAAATGAAATTTGTACGGAAAAAAGAGAACAAAAGGAATGTTAGGGGAACAAGAAAGTATAAAAAAAATGAAATTTGTACGGAAAAAAAAAAGAAAAAAAAAAAAACAAGAAAGTAAAAGGCGTGAAAATGAAATTTGTACGGAAAAAAGAGAACAAAAGGAATGTTAGGGGAACAAGAAATTTATAAAAGGCGTGAAAATGAAATCTGAACGCAAGAGAAAAGAGAAAAAAGGAATGATAGTGAAAAAATGTTGTATGAAAAAACAAACTTCTTGTACTCCTATTGTTCCATGCCTATTATAAATACTTGTTGCCTTGAATTTTTGGCGGAATAGAAAAGAAGGAACAAAATGTGTTTTAGAAGAACCAGAAAGCATAAAAGGCATGAAAAAGTGATTTATACGGAAGACAATAGAGGGAACAAAAGACGTAAAAATGAAATGTGTACGGAAGAGAAAATAAGGAGCAAAAGATATATTAGGGGAACAAGAATGTATAAAAGCGTGAAAATTACATTTCTACGGAAGAGAAAAATAGAAAAAATAAAATGTCAATGGAACAAGAAGGTATAAAAGGAGTGAAAATGTAATTTAAACAGAAGAGAAAAGAGAGAGAAAAAAAAGGAAATTGAGGAGAACATATAAGTAAAAAAAGAGAGAATATGAAATATGTGCGAAAGCGAAAAGAGAGAACAAAATGTATTTTAGAACAAGAAGGCATAAAAAACATGAAAATGAAATTTATACTGACGTGAAAAAAATGAGTAAAAGGAATGTCAGGGTAAAACACTTATAAAAATAATGTTAGGTGAACTAGAAAGTACAAAAGGCGTGAAAAAGAAATTTGTACGGAAGATAAAAGATAAAACAAAAGTTATGTTAGTGAACTAGAAAGTACAAAAGGCGTGAAAAAAGATATTTGTAAAAAGAAAAAGATAAAACAAAAGTTATGTTAGGTGAACTAGAAAGTATTAAAAGGCGTGAAAAAAGAAATTTGTACGGAAGATAAAAAAGATAAAACAAAAGTTATGTTAGGTGAACTAGAAAGTACAAAAGGCGTGAAAAAAGAAATTTGTACGGAAGATAAAAGATAAAACAAAAGTTATGTTAGGTAGAAAGAAAAAGGCGTGAAAAAAATTTGTACGGAAGATAAAAAAGATAAAAAAAAGTTATGTTAGAAAGTGAAAAAAGAAATTTGTACGGAAGATAAAAAATAAAAATAAAAAGTATGTTAGGGTGAACTAGAAAAGTACAAAAAGGCGTGAAAAAAAATTTTGTACGGAAGATAAAAAGATAAAACAAAAGTTATGTTAGGTGAACTAGAAAGTACAAAAAGGCGTGAAAAAGATATTTGTACGGAAGATAAAAAGATAAAACAAAAGTTATGTTGGGTGAACTAAAAGTACAAAAAGGCGTGAAAAAGATATTTGTAAAGATAAAAAGATAAAAACAAAAGAAAAATAGAAAGTACAAAAGGCGTGAAAAAGATATTTGTACGGAAGATAAAAGATAAAACAAAAGTTATGTTAGGTGAACTAGAAAGTACAAAAGGCGTGAAAAAAGATATTTGTACGGAAGATAAAAGATAAAACAAAAGTTATGTTAAACTAGAAAGTACAAAAGGCGTGAAAAAAGATATTTGTACGGAAGATAAAAAAATAAAACAAAAGTTATGTTAGGTGAACTAGAAAGTACAAAAGGCGTGAAAATATTTGTACGGAAGATAAAAGATAAAACAAAAGTTATTTGTAACTAGAAAGAAAAAGAAAAGATAAAAAAACAAAACGTTAGAAGATAAAATTAAAACAAAAGTTATGTTAGAACTAGAAAGTACAAAAGAAAGATATTTGTAAAGATAAAAAAAGATAAAACAAAAGTTATGTTAGTGAACTAGAAAGTGAAAAAAGATATTTGTACGGAAGATAAAAGATAAAACAAAAGAACTAGAAATGAAAAAAATATTTTGTACGGAAGATAAAAGATAAAACAAAAGTTATGTTAGGTGAAATTAACTAAGTACAAAAGGCGTGAAAAGATATTTGTACGGAAGATAAAAAGATAAAACAAAAGTTATGTTAGGTGAACTAAAAAAAGGCGTGAAAAAGATATTTGTACGGAAGATAAAAGATAAAACAAAAGTTATGTTAGGTGAACTAGAAAGTACAAAAGGCGTGAAAAGATATTTGTACGGAAGATAAAAATAAAACAAAAGTTATGTTAGGTGAACTAGAAAGTACAAAATGCGTGAAAAAATATTTGTACGGAAGATAAAAGATAAAACAAAAGTTATGTTAGGTGAACTAGAAAGTACAAAAGGCGTGAAAAAAGATATTTGTACGGAAGATAAAAATAAAACAAAAGTTATGTTAGGTGAACTAGAAAGTACAAAAAAGGCGTGAAAAAAAATTTGTACGGAAGAAAAAAAGTACAAAAACAAAAAAGTTAAGTTAAAAAGAATGAACTAGAACTAGAAAGTACAAAAGGCGTGAAAAAAAAGATATTTGTACGGAAGATAAAAAAGATAAAACAAAAAGTTATGTTAGGTGAACTAAAAGTACAAAAAGGCGTGAAAAAAAAATATTTGACGGAAGATAAAAGATAAAACAAAAGTTATGTTAAACTAGAAAAGTACAAAAGGCGTGAAAAAGAAATTTGTACGGAAGATAAAAGATAAAACAAAAGTTATGTTAGGTGAACTAGAAAGTACAAAAAGGCGTGAAAAAATATTTGTACGGAAGATAAAAAAGATAAAACAAAAGTTATGTTAGGTGAACTTACAAAAGGCGAAAAAAGATATTTGTACGGAAGATAAAAGATAAAACAAAAAGTTATGAACTAGAAAAAAAAAGAAAAAAGATATTTGTACGGAAATAAAAAGATAAAACAAAAGTTATGTTAGGTGAACTAGAAAGACAAAAGGCGTGAAAAAAGATATTTGTACGGAAGATAAAAGATAAAACAAAAGTTATGTTAAAACTAGAAAGTACAAAAGGCGTGAAAAAAGATATTTGTACGGGAAGATAAAAGATAAAACAAAAAGTTATGTTAGGTGAACTAGAAAGTACAAAAAGGCGTGAAAAAAAATATTTGTACGGAAGATAAAAGATAAAACAAAAAGTTATGTTAGGTGAACTAGAAAGTACAAAATGAAAAAGATATTTGTACGGAAGATAAAAGATAAAACAAAAGTTATGTTAGGTGAACTAGAAAAAGTAAAAAAGGCGTGAAAAAAAGATATTTGTACGAAGATAAAAAAAGATAAAACAAAAAAGTTATGTTAAAGTGAACTAGAAAGTACAAAAGGCGTGAAAAAAATATTTGTACGGAAGATAAAAAGAAAAAACAAAAGTTATGTTAGAACTAGAAAGTACAAAAGGCGTGAAAAGATATTTGTACGGAAGATAAAAGATAAAACAAAAGTTATGTTAAACTAAAAGTAAAAAAAGGCGTGAAAAAGATATTTGTACGGAAGATAAAAAGATAAAACAAAAGTTATGTTAGGTGAACTAGAAAGTACAAAAGGCGTGAAAAAAAGATATTTGTAAAAAGATAAAAAGATAAAACAAAAGTTATGTTAGGTGAACTAGAAAAAGTAAAAAGAAAAAAGATATTTGTACGGAAGATAAAAGATAAAACAAAAGTTATGTTAGTGAACTAGAAAGAAAAAGGCGTGAAAAAAAAATATTTGTACGGAAGATAAAAATAAAACAAAAGTTATGTTAGGTGAACTAGAAAGTACAAAAGGCGTGAAAAAAGATATTTGTACGGAAGATAAAAAGATAAAACAAAAGTTATGTTAGGTGAACTAGAAAGTACAAAAAAGGCGTGAAAAAAAGATATTTGTACGGAAGATAAAAAATAAAACAAAAAAGTTATGTTAGGTGAACTAAAAGTACAAAAAGGCGTGAAAAAAAAGATATTTGTACGGAAGATAAAAAAGATAAAACAAAAGTTATGTTAGGTGAACTAGAAAGTACAAAAAGGCGTGAAAAAAAAGATATTTGTACGGAAGATAAAGATAAAAACAAAAAGGCGTTATGTTGGGTGAACTAGAAAAAAAAAAGTTATGGCGTGAAAAAAAATATTTGTACGGAAGATAAAAGATAAAACAAAAGTTATGTTAGGTGAACTAGAAAGTACAAAAAGGCGTGAAAAAAAAGATATTTGTACGGAAGATAAAAGATAAAACAAAAGTTATGTTAGGTGAACTAGAAAGTACAAAAGGCGTGAAAAAGATATTTGTACGGAAGATAAAAAGAAAAACAAAAGTTATGTTAGGTGAACTAGAAAGTACAAAAGGCGTGAAAAAAAGATTTTGTACGGAAGATAAAAGATAAAACAAAAGTTATGTTAGGTGAACTAGAAAGTACAAAAGGCGTGAAAAAGATATTTGTACGGAAGATAAAAAAAAAGATAAAACAAAAAGTTATGTTAGGTGAACTAGAAAGTACAAAAGGCGTGAAAAAAGATATTTGTACGGAAGATAAAAGATAAAACAAAAAGTTATGTTAGGTGAACTAGAAAGTACAAAAAGGCGTGAAAAAAGATATTTGTACGGAAGATAAAAGATAAAACAAAAAGTTATGTTGTTAGTGAACTAGAAAGACAAAAGGCGTGAAAAAAATATTTGTACGGAAGATAAAAGATAAAACAAAAGTTATGTTAGGTGAACTAGAAAGTACAAAAAGGCGTGAAAAAAAGATATTTGTACGGAAATAAAAGATAAAACAAAAGTTATGTTAGGTGAACTAGAAAGTACAAAAGGCGTGAAAAAAAAAAAGATATTTGTACGGAAGATAAAAGATAAAACAAAAGTTATGTTAGGTGAACTAGAAAGTACAAAAGGCGTGAAAAAAGATATTTGTACGGAAGATAAAAGATAAAACAAAAAAGTTATGTTAGGTGAACTAGAAAGTACAAAAGGCGTGAAAAAAGATATTTGTACGGGAAGATAAAAGATAAAACAAAAGTTATGTTAGGTGAAAAAAGATATTTGTACGGAAGATAAAAGATAAAACAAAAAGTTATGTTAGGTGAACTAGAAAGTACAAAAAGGCGTGAAAAAAGATATTTGTGGAAGATAAAAGATAAAACAAAAGTTATGTTAAGGTGAACTAGAAAGTACAAAAGGCGTGAAAAAAGATATTTGTAAAGATAAAAGATAAAACAAAAGTTATATTAGGGAACTAGAAAGTACAAAAGGCGTGAAAAAAGATATTTGTACGGAAGATAAAAGATAAAACAAAAAAGTTATGTTGGGTGAACTAGAAAGTACAAAGGCAAAAAAAGATATTTATACGGAAGAAAAAATAAAACAAAAAAGATATTTACAAAGGCGTAGAAGATAAAAGATAAAACAAAAGTTATGTTAGGTGAACTAGAAAACAAAAGGCGTGAAAAAAGATATTTGTACGGAAGATAAAAGATAAAACAAAAGTTATGTTAGGTGAACTAGAAAGTACAAAAAGGCGTGAAAAAAGATATTTGTACGGAAGATAAAAAGATAAAACAAAAAGTTATGTTAGGTGAACTAGAAAGTACAAAAAAAAAAAGATATTTGTACGGAAGAAAAAAAACAAAAGTTATGTTAGGTGAACTAGAAAGACAAAAGGCGTGAAAAAGATTTTGTACGGAAGATAAAAGATAAAACAAAAAAGTTATGTTAGGTGAACTAGAAAGTACAAAAATGAAAAAAAATATTTGTACGGAATAAAAGATAAAAACAAAAGT